ATTGGCAACAATCTAATTAAAACACGTTAGTATTCCGCCGATGCTATTTCACTTAAGTTCAGAACATCGCTCTCACATTGATTTTAAATGCCACCAACTTTGTCCATCTGCTGCATTTGTCTGGAAAGAGACAAAAGTTTATCCGATGATTTTGCAAACTTCAATGGCAGAAAGTAATTCACAGTAACAAGGCAACTTACAGGGAACAAAATCCAGCTAGCTACAGAGGTTCCAAATTGTATGCTTAAAAGGTCAGTCCATAGAAAACTGACATTTCAGTTGTTGGTAGATGCTGGAGAGTGAAACCCCCTGACAGTGTTCTGTATCTCTCGGGGATGCTATACATTGAATCTCTATGCTAATTAAATGAATGTGTAGACAAAATTTAAAAAAGCTGGAAGGAATGCCCATCACAGGCTTTCCTGGTGGTATTTTATTATGGATAAGTATCTGCCTGTACTTTTCAACATTAAAGAGACCATTACATATGACCAAATTCCCAACTCTATGTTAGAAATGCAGCCCCAAGCCTATAGAGAATCTCCACCATGCTTTACTGTTGCCTTCAGATACTCATCCTGTACTGTTCTCTAGGCTTTTTGCCAAAAAATCCACCTTCGATGACAGTCAAATCACATTTGGACTCATCAGTCCAGAGCACCTGCTGCCATATTATTGGCCACCAGTTCTTATTTCCACTATAGAGTCACAAGCCTTCCATGAAGACCACTTCTGACTTCTCTGGACTGTGAAAGGGTGTACCAGGGTCTCACTGGTTTCTACCTTGAATGTGCCAGTCAGTACTGTTCAATCACTTAGTAACTGTAAAAGTTTGGAAAGAAAATTTGTGAGTCTCTTGATACCAAGCCAAGGTAATGTAGACCAAGAAAGATTGCAGCCACAACTGCCAGAAGAATTGTTTGCTATACAAAGAAAAACCCACAGGTAATCTCAGGCTGCTCTGGAAAAAGACGGTGTCAGGAATCTAGGAGTGACCAGAAAGGTGTGGACTGACACAGGGAAACGCAGGCCTCAGGTACAGTATAATACAGTTTATTATTAGCCACCCAGATATATATATAAATGCACAGTGAGCAAACCAACCTTCCACTAATCTTAGGAGGTGCAGGAATACAGGCATAGTCAGGGCTGGAGAGGTGGAACGGTCAGGCCGGCCGTAGGGTTCTGTAATGACCATTTGGTGGTACCTCTAGCGGTCCTCAGGACAGGATTCCCCAGGGCGCGGAGTCTAAGTCCCAGTCTGCTTATTCACCAGGGCCCCTGATGGTGGGGATGGACTTGGAGCAGACAGGAACCAGGTCGCGGCCCCTGAGTACACCTGCTAGTGGTAGAGGGATCCGCCAGAGGTATGTGCAGGTAGAAAGCCTGATGTGAAGAGGCAGAAGGTGTGAGCAGGGACGGCTGGATTCGTGCAGGATGGATGGATGGCAGAGTAGTTAGCGTGGTCAGACGGGCCAGGTCAGCAACGTGCGGGCAGCAAGGTACCAAAGGAGCAGCAGAGAATGGTCAGGGTCACAAGCTGGGTTCAGTAACTCACGGGCAGCGCGGTACAGGGGATCAGGCAGAAGGATGGTCAGGCAAGCCAGGGGTTCAACAGGAGACGGTCAGCAGAGGTCAGGATCAAGCAGGGTCAGCAACGAAGCAGGAACACAGGATATCAGGTACAGGGGCTCATGGGAAAACATACACCAAGGCCCAGATCACAGGCCTGGTCATGCCTTAAATACACCTTCTGCAATCAGCCCCAGGTTTGGCTGATTGCAGGAGTGAGCTTCTGGCTGCTGAGAGCACCCGCTGTTCAGCTCTGGTACTGCAGCCCACACGGCAGGTGAGTCCCACCACCAGTGCTGAGTCCATTCCTGACAGACGGTGTAGTTGTTTTGAGCACAATATGATGAACAAAAATGAGCTGCATGGTTGAGTTGCCAGAAAACATCTTTTACTGCGTCAATGGCGTGTCACGGTGTTGTCAGAAAGATTGTAACCAGCCTTTTTTTGTGGCATTGACACAGCAAAGGCTTCTTTCTGGCAACTTGACCATGCAGCTCATTTTTATTCACGTATCGTTGTATTGTGCTCCCTTAAAGCAACCACGCCATCTTTTTCCAGTGCACCCTGTATTTCTCATGAGGTTACCTGTTTTTATTTGTATATGGAACAATTCCTCTGACAGTTGTGGCTGCAATCTTTCTTGGTCTACCTGACCTTGGCTTGGTATCAAGAGATTCCTGAATTTTTCACTTCTTAATATATGGTTGAAGTACTGACTGGCATAGTCAAGGCTTTGGATATCTTTTTATATCTTTTTCCATCTTTACAAAGTTCCATTGCCTTGTTACGCAGGTCTTTTAACAGTTATTTTCTGCTTCCCATGGCTTAGTATCTAGCCTGCTCAATGCTTCCATGTCAGAGGTAACAAACTCCTGACTATTCATACACAGACACTAATTGCAATTTAAAAAGCCACAGATGTGAAAAATTAACCTTTAATTGCCATTTTATCCTCTGTATGTCTGCACTAAGGCCAAACATTCCAGGGTATGTAAACTTTTATTCAGGGCCATTTGGGTGATTTCTGTTATAACGTGGATTTAAAAAGAAGCAATCACTATAAGGCACGGACATAGGGTACACCAGCATTTGTCCAGGGGTGGTCAGGCAGCACATAGAGGAACCAGTATGTGCATTTTACTCCTGCATCCACTGAATGCTCACTTTTCCTCTCCCTCCTGCAGGCATCCAGTGGCGGCAGGAGACAAATGCATGGACGGGTTCATCCATGTGCTATCCGGCCACCCCTCCTATCCATTTCCTGCTGCCCTGGGATCCTGTATACTTTCCCAGCAGCTGCCCCCCCATTCCCAGCAGCGCTGCCGGGTTCCCCTCTCCCTGCAGCTGCTGCGAGATGATCTGTCAGGATAGACTGTCCCCTGGGGCTCTGAGCTGAGAGAGTATCCCCCCCACCACAGACGAGAGAGTTCCCCCCCACCAGAGAGGAGAGAGAAAGCTGGTTCTTTCTTTCTTTCTTTCTTTCTTTCTTTCTTTCTTTCTTTCTTTTTTTTTTCTTTTTTCTTTCTTTCTTTTTCTTTCTTTCTTTCCCACTTTCTTTCTGTCTTTCTGTTTCTCCTGTTTCCCTCTTTCCTTCTTTCTTTCTTTCTTTCTTTCTTTCTTTCTTTCTTTCTTTCTTTTTCTTTCTTTCTTTCTTTCTTTCTGTCCTCTTTTCCCTCTTCCCTTCTTTCCCTCCTTGCTTTCTTTCTTTCCCTCTTCCTTTTTCTTTCTTCACTTCCCTCTTCTTCTATCCCTCTCTCTTTCTTTCCTTCTCTCTCTTTCTCTCTCTGTCTCCTGTTTCCTATCTTTCTTTCTTTCTCTCTTTCTTTTTCTCTCTCTCTGTCTCCTGTTTCCCTCCTTTCTTTCTTTCTTTCTTTCTTTCTTTCTTTCTTTCTTTCTTTCTTTCTTTCTTTCTTTCTTTCTTTCTTTTTCTTTCTTTCTTTCTTCTTTCTTCTTTCTTTCTTTCCCACTTTCTGTATGTCTTTCTGTCTCCTGTTTCCCTCCTTCCTTCTTTCTTTCCATCATTCTTTCTTTCTTTCTTTCTCTTTCCCTCCCACCAAAGCCCCCAAACAGGGCGCCTTAAAAAAGTAAAAAAAATTATAAAATTGTAAAAAATAATAAAAAAATAAAATAAAAATAAAAAACCTACTGACACTAATGGCGAGACTACCAGGGTCGCAAAGGTTGCTCTTGCGACCAGGCATTGACATTCCACCTCCAGGCTCAAAGGAAAGGGTCCCTGGGCTTGGGACAACTCAGTTTTAATTTCCAGGCCTTTTTTTTGTCCCAGTCCAGGCCTGATCAGTATCCTTAAATAAAAGACAGTTTTTGTCATGATCAGTCATATTTTCAATATCAATGCCAAAATTTCACAATGTCAGCAAAGGGTATCCAAACTTTTGAGCACAACTATAATATATCCTCTCCAGCTCCTGAAAAACCATTGCACAGAGCAGGTGAGTATGACGTGTTTGTTATTTATTATTATTATTTTTTTAAATTCGAACCTTTAGTATCACTTTAAATTCTACTTGACTATATGTCTCATGTCTCATCTAATAGGATGATGGTACTCTCCTATTAAGAGGCTATTATGCCTTTTTTTTTTTTTTTTTTTCATGCGTTGAAATGATGTATAGGGTCCTCTTCACCCGTTTCTCGTGTGTTTGGTGATGTAACGGGTGTCACTGAGGTGATGATGTTGGCACTGTCCTCTGTGTTATTACACTGTGAATGCAGGACACCATGGTGCCACTGGGTCCAAGATGTCCCACCCTTATAGTAGACACTAACATTCAACCCAAGTGAAGACCTGCAGAGGTGGGTTATTTGGTGTACAAAGTAGACATTGCAAAGGAGGTCAGTGTTGCAACAAGAGTGTATTTGTGAAATATTTTTAGATTCTAAGCTATTTATTAATAAATAAATAAAAGTGGATTTTTGCTTTAAATATCGCCTATAGGTTAATGCATAAGATATTCCCAAGACAGGAAATAGCAATGTGACAAAACATTTTTTTACAATATCATATTTTTAATAACACTTTTTTTCCTTGTACATGGTATTGAAAAGTGAGCCCACGTAAATGTGGGGGTGACAACTTTTCTTAACTATGCAAAAGGTAGGCAATTTTTGCTCTTTAAATTATAGACTATGATACCATTCAGACATAATTAGAAATGGGATGTCTCTGCTTGTTATGAAAATTCTGCCTTCTGCAAAAGTTCTGCAAAGAGAAATTTGTCTCAGCTACTGTAGTTGTGGTATATCTGTAGCAACAGATAATAATAAGACTTTCATATTTAGATTTTGAAATTTTCATTTATGTTCTATATTTTAGCTTTTAACATTTTTGTACCTGATTTTGGTTTGCTTAATGTGGTTTCTTTTTGAGGCTTTAACTAGATGAACTTTGGGTGTAGCTTCTTAACCATTTCCTGTCCGGACACTTTTACCCCCTTCCTGTCCAGGGCAATTTTCAGCTTTCAGCGCTATCACACTTTGAATGACAATTGCGCAGTCATGCAACACTGTACCCATATGAATTTTTTACCATTTTTTTGAGACAGATAAAGCTTTGTTTTGGTGGTATTCACCGCTGGGATTTTTATTTTTTTTGCTATGTAAATGAAAATGTCCAATGTCCAATGAAAAAGTGTTTTTCTTATAAAATTTTGCAAATAAATCATATTTCATCATAAATTTTGGCCAAAATGTATTCTGTTATCTTTTTAGTAAAAAACAAAATACGCCAAATTAGTTTATAACCAAAAATTATAATTTTATAAAATTTGTTTTACATTTTTATTTTATTTTTTTTTTTTTTTTTTTTTTTTTTTTTTTTTTTTTTTTTTTACATACTGTCACCCTAGCAGTACAGTGTCACCATGGTGACACTGTACTACTTGTGGGGGGTAATGAAGATTTTTTTTTTTTACAGTGATTGCTTTTACACGCATATATAGGATGTAAAAGCAATCATTTCTCTTTCTCTCTGTCTGCATTCTTGCAGCCATTGAGAAATACTGTGTGAGCTGTGATTGGTCAGAGCTTGTCACATGGTACAAGGCTGTTGTGAATAGCCTTGTACCATGTGACCTCTGTGATCACAGATTTCACGCATAGTAAGCAATGATGTCACAAGTGACATCTTGCTTACTACTTTGCATGTGATCACTGATTGGCCAATCAGTGATCACATGATCGGGACCTCGTATAGAGGTCCCGTCCGACGATCGGTGTTTCACTGTGTCCGGAGGACACAGCGGGCACCGGATGACGGTGCTGTGCGCTCCCAGGGAGCGCGCACAACTAGAAATAGCAGGTGCCGTTTATGAACGGCAACCCGCCCCTGGAATGCCACCATCCTGCCGTTTAAAAACAGTAGGCGGAAGGCAAGTGGTTAAAGCTGCTCACTTATCTTACTTTTCCTCCTCTTTGTGGGAATAAGGAATAAAATATATGGACTCCCTTAAAACGGTTCTAAAAGCTGGACATTTTTACTTTAATGCTTTTGCTGCATTAAGGTAAAAAAATGTCCCGTTAGTTACATTGCCCCCTCACCCCCCTAAATACTTATATGAATCCTATCTCGATCCAGTGCTGTGTCCGAGTGCAGTGGCGCTGCGCTCTCTTCCTCTCCTCACTGGACTCAGTGAGAGCAATGGGAGCAATTGGCTTATTCTGCTAAATCATAAATCAAAAAAATGCAGCGCAGTACTATAAACTCAAATACGGTGCTACCAGGGGCGGACTGACAACTTGCAGTTTTTTGAACATGTGTTTTTTGATGCGTTTTGGGTTTTTTTTTAGCCACTTGGAAATGATGACAGTTCTGCTCATGTAGTGCGACTTTGATGTGACATTGATGTGATTTTACACTCTCCGGCACTCGAGTAGCATTAAAGTCACATCAAAGTAGTGCAGGGACCTTTATGTGTTTTTAAAGTCGCATGTTAGGGTTAAAGGCTAGGGTTAGGGTGAAATGTTAGGGTTAAGGACTAGGGTTAGCATCAGGGGCAGACTGACAACTCATGGGGCCCCCGGGCAATAGGGGATCATGGGGCCCCTGTGTCCTTGCCCAAACTCAAAAAAGCCTATGAAAAAGGTACCAGGGGCATCTCATGGGGCAGTGCCCAAGTTTCCAAATGGTCAGTCCGCCCCTGGGTGCTACTAGTATCCAACATGCATGGTAACTCTCTAACTCCTGCCAAAGAGGGAAAAAAAATGTTTGTTAAAAAAAAAAGATACACAAATATTAAAAAATAAAATAAAAAATAAAGAAAAAATACCTAGATCAAGGTTTGATCTAGTTCAGTGCCAGGGTTAGTGTTTGGGTCAAGGTCAGGGTCAAAGGTCAGGATTTTTTTTTTTTTTAAATTGGTATTAGAGTCAGTTAGTGTCAGTATGTTTTAAGTAAACAAAACAGAAATTGCCACTATTGTTTCTGGGCTGTACTACGAGTATAAACAACAAATAACATACACATATATGGTATCGCTGCGATTGTCAAGAGCTGGAAAATTTATTTTCGGTTGTTCTTTGGTGGTAGGTTATGGTAGTAACAAGAAAAACACAGCTAAATTAAAAAATATATATTTTTTTTACTATTTTGGGCCAGTTTTCCTTTGATAATAAAAAAAAAATCAGGAGATATCCATTACCATTTACCACCAATTGAAAGCCCAATTTGTCCTGATAAAAACAAGGTATAATCCACCTGGATGTACAAAGTTGTGATATGTACGGTTTTACTAACACATGTCAACGTTGCAAAATTGTGCTTAGGCATTAAGATTTGTTTTACCCTTAGGCGTGAAGGGGTTAAGATAAATCTATCTATCTATCTATCTATCTATCTATCTATCTATCTATCTATCTATCTATCTCTCTAATCTATCTATTAATCTATCTATCTATCTATCTATCTATCTATTTATCTATTTATCTCCATCTATCTATCTATCTATCTCCATTAATCTATCTATCTATCTATCTATCTATCTATCTATCTATCTATCTCTATCTATCTATCGATCTATCTATCTATCTCCATTAATCTATCTATCTATCTATCTATCTATCTATCTATCTATCTATCTATCGATCTATCTATCTATCTCCATTATCTATCTATCTATTAATCTATCTATCTATCTATCTATCTATCGATCTATCTATCTATCTCCATTAATCTATCTATCTATCTATCTATCTATCTATCTATCTATATAGGGGTTAGACAAAAAAAGGGAAAAAAGATCTCCAGAATGGTACATTAATACTTATTTCAAATAAACCTGTAAAGAAAGCTGGCCATTTCAAGCTATTTTTTCTTTAAATCTTCAGCTTCTTATATCTTTGTAGCTAACGTGTTTTGATATATAGTTTTTTACTAAATGTAAGCCCTGTTTATGTGTTTTATTTAATATGCTTTATTTGAATTGCCCAGATTTGTGACAAGTTTATTTTAAAATGGAAATATAGGGGTTAGGCAAAAAATGAAAACACTACATGATTTGCAGGTGTGAAAGTGATGACATGGCACATACAGTTTCCAGGAAAACATCGTCTGACAAGCATAAGCACGGTTGACATGGTCAACTGACCGAAAGAGACAAAAGGAAAATACATTGGATTGAGTCTTCAGGGACTGAGATTGAGCTCTGCAGTCATTTTGGAGCAGTTGTTTGCTTATTCTGGTTCACAATCCTGGTCAATGTCCTTTTGTCTCTTTCGGTGGGTTGACCATGTTGACTGCGCTTTTGCTTATCAGGCTCCTGCTGCTGTCAATCACAGCCAGCGAGCAGGAAGCGAGGCGGTGGGGCTGAGCCACGCTCAGACACACAGTGGCAGCTCGGAAAAGAGCACACACAAGTGCCCGCAAAGCAAACAACTTGCTCTGGGGGCACTCAGCAGGGGGGAGGGGTCAGAAGCACCAGTGGGGAACCCGAGAAAAGGAGAACCGGGGCACAGAGCAGGTAAGTATGACATGTTTGTAATTTTAAAAAAGCTGAACCTTTATAACAATTTTAAAATACTACAATGCACAGCGTGCACATTATGGTGCACTGCAAAGCTCTTACTGTAACCCTATCTCCAACCCTTCACAATCCCAACCCTTCTTGTAACCCTAGCCCTCATACTAACCCTTTTTGTAGTTGTAACCTTAACCAATATGTCTTGTAATACTAACCCTCACTTTAATCCTCTCTGTAATGCTAACGTCTTCACCAATGTTCTTTGTAACTCTCATCCTTACACTTGCCCTCACATTAACCCTTTATGGAACATCATTACTCCATGTAATTATAACTTTCCCTGTAACTCCAACACTCCCTGCAACCCTAACACTCCCCTGTAACTCTAACACACATATCTAGTCTCCATGTAACCCTCACATAAAACCTTCCTATAAGTTGAACCTTGACCTTGCCTGTGATCTTAACCCCCAACCCTCCCTGCAACCCTGACTCTTCCTGTAACCCTCGCCCTCACATTAAACCCCTCTAAAAAGTACAACTTTCTGAAACCATAACACTACATTTTGGCTTTTCCGACACGCCGTGATTCCATACTGGACATGGAATATGAAGCTATTGAACTCTCGGAGATGTCCATGATTAAGTGACATTCAGAGATCTACAGCGGCAGCATCATAAAGATGTCCAGGATCCAATAACAGGAGCGACCGTAATTGGAGTGCTGAGCAGTATTATATTGGAGGCAGGTTGTGTTTATATCGGGAATTGATCTCGGGACGGTGATCGCATAGTGGTGCCTCTCACACCTGGCAATCTTCACCTGTTTATGTGAAAGGAATGATGTGGTTTCCACTGGTTCATGCTTGCATTATGCCACGGAGCTCCAGCTTGCGGCTTAAGCTCTTCCCTGCATGTTCAAGTCTGTTAACTCCTTTCTATCTCCATTGTAGCTATTGCAACATTATCTGTCCACGCATTCTGATTGATTGATTCTCTGTGTACGGGCAACCAAGTATAAACTTGTGTTCTCAGCATGTTCTATTGATTATAGACACTTGCTTGATGGACGGATATCACGGACTGGAAAAATCAAATATATATGCCCAATCGATGTTGGAGCCTGCTTGAACTTTCTGTCCAGAACGTAAACATCTCTGGAACATATATACAAGTGACACAAGCTGATTTATTTGCCATGTGCAATCCTTTATGATTATTATAACATTGTTGCTGATTGTGATCTAAGCTTTGATCATTGCTTTGTATGGAATATTTCCATGTGTGGGTGCTTGGTATGTCTGTGAGCCCGAGTCGTGTATTACTGTATATGACAACATTGTAATTTGTTTTTAATTGTGTTGGGTGAAGGGATTCAAGCAATTGATTTGTCTTTTTATACTTTCAATAAAATGTGTTATTTTTCCAAGCTGCGGATTGGTTCTTTACTGGGACAGCTTTATGTGAACTGCTTGCTCACATTTTAATATTTTTGGTCTATTAATTTGGTCCAGAGGACACCACCCCTAATAGGGTAAAGTGAGTAAATTGTACTAGTATTTTTCCTGCAGTGAATCCCGTTTATGTTTTAACTTTTTAGTAACCCTTATACTAACCTTTCATGTAACCTGAATCCAAGTGTAGCACAACCCCCTTAGAAATTGGGTCCCCCTACAGTTCTGCACAACTAAGCAACATGGATTTTTTCCACACGTTGCATTCAGAGTCAGTAAACAGTCCTTGAGCTTGGTTTTGATACCTTGGACTGGGTTGAGGGGTGTAAGGGATACCCAAAGGAACTGCAGACTTGAGGACAAACTCCTTAGCAACTATGTACAGATATAGACAAAATAGTCTCTCCTCTGAGAGCATTCCATCTCTCCGTTGTACCT